GCATGTAGTCTTCCTTTTAGAAGCCCTAGTCGCTTATGTTACAAAGGACAATGTGTAAAGACACATACTACATGTTGTGATTTAAAAGTGAAGTATTAAAAGAGGATGGGGCTGGGCATGGTGACTCATGCCTGTAATCCTAACACTTCGGGAGGCTGAAGCAGGAAGATTGCTTAAGCCCGGGAGTTTAAGACCAGCCTGGGCAACATATGGAAACCACATCTCTACAAAGAAAAAAAAAATAGCCAGGTGTGGTGGCACGTGCCTACGGTCCCAGCTACTCAGGAGGCTAAGGCGAGAGGATCGCTTGAGCCCAAGAGGTCGAGGTTGCAGTGAGCCATGATTCCACCACTGCATTCCAACCTGAGTGACAGAGTGAGACCCTGTCTTAAAATAAAGAGAGAGAATAGGTAGCTGAGTTGCCTAGAATGCTCTAGTTTATGGGCTGAGTGGATATCACAGGGAGATAGGTAGAAAATGAGAGGGGGTTTTAGTTTGCATAAACTTTCTTTAAAGCCAAGTCAAACTAAGGGGGAAGTGAGAAAGAGAATCTGGGTCCTACAGTATCTACGTGATGGGTAAATGGTAAGGGGAGCTGGAGCAGTTCTTTTAAATGTGTGTGTATGTGCTGTTTATGCACTCTTTCCTTTCCTCCCCTTAGGTGGTATTGGCAAAAGGAAAAGATACCGAAGTATGTGGAATTTATGAAAGATAATTACCCTCCTAGTTTCAAATATGAAGATTTTGGACCACTATTTACAGCAAAATTTTTTAATGCCAACCAGTGGGCAGATATTTTTCAGGCCTCTGGTGCCAAATACATTGTCTTAACTTCCAAACATCATGAAGGTAAGTCAATCTAGCGTATGGAAATTGCTGACAATGGTTAAGAAATGAAAAATTATTTTTTTTTGGAAGAAAAAACTAAAGCAAGGTCTAATTTTCTCTTAGGCGCAACCATAAGTGGTGACTGGCACTTGTTGATAACTAAGGGACTGCACTTTCAACCCAAATTGAGAGATGTTAGGAATACAGAAAGGATCATACCCTCCACATAACAGAAGAAAGATGGTCACATTTTGGCACATGTATTTTGAACAATATTTCCAAGATTTACGTAAAGCTGTTTGTTGAAGGGAGTGTGGGTTGCAAGTCAAAGTTCATCATTGGAATTGCACTTTCCTTCCCTTTCTCTGTAGTGCATCCTGTGAATGCATCATGGGGGTTATACTGCTATAGTCTTGCATCATTAAGGCACACCTGGCTGCACTTTTAGCCAACTCTTAGATGACCAAATTGTGCAAATAGTGGATGAACTGATAATGATGAAAGTGACCCAGATCACCTGAAGGGAAAAGGATTGTGGAACTGTAATGGTTCCCAGAATAATCAGAGGTGGTAGAAGAATATCTAAACCCCCACACAGCAGTCCTATTTTAATAGAATGGATTCCACCCATTACCACTGCAGTATTTGTAAGGCCAGGGAAGCATTAACAAATTGTTTTTGTTCCACTTGCTTGTTAATTCATTAGTTTCTTTCGCATGATCATCTTTGCCTTGGTATAAAAAAATTTGCACTGGAGTGGTCGCTCATGCCTGTAATCCCAAAACTTTGGGAGGCCGAGGAAGGAGTATCATTTGAGCCTAGGGGTTTGAGACCAGCCTGGGCAACATAATGAGACCCTGTCTCTACAAAAACAAATAAACAAACAAACAAACAAAACTAAAAAATTAGCATGGTGGTGTGTCTCTGTAGTCCCAGCTACTCGGGAGGCTTAGGTTGGAGGACTGCTTGAGGCTGTAGTGAGCGGAGATAGGGCCACTACACTCTAGTCTAGGTGGCAGAGCGAGATCCTGTCTCAAAAAAAAAGAAACTTTGCCTTATTGTTTTCTCCAGGGATGGGATGAGAATAGGAGAGGAGAACCAACACAAAAAATCTGGAATGATCATAGGATATTTTCCCTTTGGCCACATTCTGGTAGCTTCATGATTTTCTCCTGTAGATATTTCTCCTGCTGAGATGAATGTCTATCAAGTATTTGCTTGAGAACATGCTGATTTCCTGATGTCTAGGAACTTTCCCAAGCTGTATGGCACAAAACAATACATAGTGAGTTTATTTAATAAAAATTATTAATCAAACTGTGAGGAGAGATGATGTAGCCCACATTTATACATTTTCTGGGACCCATGTTGTCAGATGTTTTCATTGCTTATGGAAAATGCATACTAAGCTCAGGAAGGAGTATCGCTGTGTGAGCTTATGGTGGTGATATTCAAATGAAGACTCATGTGGTTTTAGTACTGTCTGACATTAGGGCCTGTCAAGTTGAATAATTTTGAATATGACTTTAGATATCAACACTGCTCTGAAGCTTACCATAGACATGACAGGAACAAGAGTGAGCTGTTTTTAAAAGCTTATTAAAATGAATCTAAGGCTAGGTGCAGTGGCTCACATCTATAATCCCAACACTTTGGGAGGCCAAGGAAGGAGGATTGCTTGAGGTCAAGAGTTTGAGACCAGCCAAGGCAGCAAAGTGAGACCCTGTCTCTGAAAAATTAGACAAAATTAGCTGGGCGTGGTAGAGTACACCTGTAATCCTAGCTACTGGAGATGTTGAGGTGGGAGGAACACTTGAACCCAGGAGGTTGAGGATGCAGTGAACCAAGGTCACACCACTGAACTCCAGCCTGGGTGACAGAGCCAGAACCTGTCTCAAAAAAAAAAAAAAAAAAAAAAAATCCGAAGTATGAGTCAATCTTAGACTTGTTCTAATTTATCAAGAGTAAAATGTTTCACCAAATGTACCTTATAAATGTCTATTCTTAAAAATTATTTTAGATTTTAGTGGAATAGTAACAATGTAGTTAAGTCTCTAGGCACTGATAAAATTTTTGAGGCTTTCATATTTATTATGTTTTAAGTATTTCAGTTTATATATCTCTTCTAACATTTTTATATAGAACAACCAGTAATCTAAATGCAAATGCCTGTTAAAAATGAACCACTTCTAAGTGTTTGTATAAAAGTATATATTGTTTTTCTTATCTATAAGATAAGAAAATAGTTGGTAGACTATTTGCTTTTGGGTAATTTTATTAAAGAGGAAAATCCAAGCTTATGATTTTATAGTAGGATGACATTACATGTGGTGAGTATATTTTAAAGTATAGAACTATTGAGAAATAGTAGGGTTTTTTTGCCCCTCTGGTTAAATAAATAATCAGGCTAAAAGAGATTTGCTATACATGGATCACCAGTGTTCTAAGAATCACACTATAATAGAATAAACAATCCTAAAACTAAGCAGTAGACTTCAAACTTTGGTTTAGAAGACACTAAGAATCTTGCAGGAGTGCATCTCAGGATCTTCATAATAAATAGTAGTAGTCATCATTTAGCATGGTACATGTATATGTTCCCATTTTAGTTGTGGGCTGCTATTGTTGATTGTTTATTTTGTGCTATACCTTGTGCTAGCAGTTGGCTGAAGACATAGCAGGGAGCACTGCAGACATGATGAGATCCCTCAAGGACCTTACAATCTAAGAGGGAAAATACTGGAAATAGATCAGACCATACAGTGATAAACCCCGAAAGTTGCTTTTAAAAACCTCAGACTCACCTTGTTTAAATTTTCACTTCTCATATAAAAGCACGATATATGCCATGAAAAACTGGCCATAAAACAGTCATTTGTAGGAGCAGGTATTTATACATCGCATGTACTATGTGATTTGTTTGGGCATTTGTGTGGGTTGAAATTTACTAAAATAGACATGCTTACAAGGGTTTTCACTATAACTTTCTAGGTTTTACCTTGTGGGGTTCAGAGTATTCATGGAACTGGAATGCCATAGATGAGGGGCCCAAGAGGGACATTGTCAAGGAACTTGAGGTAGCCATTAGGAACAGAACTGACCTGCGTTTTGGACTGTACTATTCCCTTTTTGAATGGTTTCATCCGCTCTTCCTTGAGGATGAATCCAGTTCATTCCATAAGCGGCAATTTCCAGTTTCTAAGACATTGCCAGAGCTCTACGAGTTAGTGAACAACTATCAGCCTGAGGTTCTGTGGTCGGATGGTGATGGAGGAGCGCCAGATCAATACTGGAACAGCACAGGCTTCTTGGCCTGGCTATATAATGAAAGGTGTGTATGCTATGAGATTGCTGCAGTTACCCTCCATATTCCTAATATATTTCTAACATTTTCATTCCTTCACCTCTTGAAATATTTCATTTTAAGTCATTGGTGGCATGGGGGGAGAAAATCATTTTAAATAATACGTATTAGATATATCAGTATTTACTCAACATAATCAAGGGTAAATAAATCAGGAGTAAAATACAACTCAGTGGTCTGATTTTGAGATCAGACTAAAAATCACAGGATCACTTTGAAGGTGTTAATTTTGTGGGTCCCCCCTTTTTCTTTCCTACCCTGGTCCTTTATGGCCTCTATTCTGGGACAACTCTGTTTCTTCATCACTATTTCCAATTATGTGCTTCCGAATCCCTCTGACTGCTTCTTTTTATCCTCTTACCTTTTGGTCATCATTGCTGCCCAGCCAATGTCACCCTTGTTTGTCTCCTCTTTTCCTTCATCAGCAGCATTTTCCCTTTCTCCAGTTTTTTCCTATTGCTTCCTGCTATGTTCAAGGCTGCCCTATTAGAACAGGGAGTTCTGATTAAACTCCTCCATTAGGCTTAACCTATATGGACAAAATTTGCATGTACACTAGAAAGCACTGGGTATTGTGCTATTAAGTCAGGCAACCTTCTGCTTGCACTTCCTGGGCCCACAAAGGGCACAAATACAAATATTCTGAAAAACTCTTGATACTGAAAACAGCATCTTGATACTGAAAACAGCAATGTGTCCTTCCAAGGGAAAAGATGGGGAGCCATCACTTCAATTTGTGACTCAAAACTGTCCCCTCTATGTGGTGTGGATTTCCCTCTAAAATGTGCCACGTGCTATGATAAGTAACGTTGTGGGGATATTTCACATGACATCAACGGTTGAATTTTCTGAGATTTTTCAATATTAGGCACAATGGTAAGAGAAAGAGAAAGGCTAGACTACATGTATGAGATCACTGAATCATTGAAAAGTGTCTTGGGTATAAATTCAGTTTCGGCTATCATTTACAATATGGAAGGGAGCTTAAAATAATCATAATACTCTTATGAGTGCTATATGTGCTGGGTACCAGGCTAAATGTTTTACATAACTTATTTTTGTTCTAATCATAGATGAGGAAATTCATTATTCAGAGGAGTCAGGTAACTTGCACTAGGTCTAGGAGCTAGAAAGTGACAAAGTCAGAACTCCAATCAACCCAGGTCTGTTTGACTTCAAAACCACGGGCTTTCCACTGTACTATGCCATGGTTCCTTTTCAGAATTCTATTTCAATTACAAGTCTTTTCAGTGACATTTCTTTTGTATAAAAAGCTTATACCTTTTGTTTTAAAAAACTGTATGTTTCATTTCAGCCCAGTTCGGGACACAGTAGTCACCAATGATCGTTGGGGAGCTGGTAGCATCTGTAAGCACGGTGGCTTCTATACCTGCAGTGATCGTTATAACCCAGGACATCTTTTGCCACATAAATGGGAAAACTGCATGACAATAGACAAACTGTCCTGGGGCTATAGGAGGGAAGCTGGAATCTCTGACTATCTTACAATTGGAGAATTAGTGAAGGTACAGTAAAATGTCTGGTGACTATTAACATAATATTCTTAATAGTGTGATCATATAGGATTTATTTCTTATGTAGCTCAATGGCCTATAAATATAGGACATTGTTCTATCCTGTGTTCTTCTAGGTAGTGACTATATATACATGTATAAATATATAAATGCAACATATTAGCACATTAAATGTGGAATTATTTTATTTATCTAAAAACATTTATTCTTAATTTTTTAGCAACTTGTAGAAACAGTTTCATGTGGAGGAAATCTTTTGATGAATATTGGGCCCACACTAGATGGCACCATTTCTGTAGTTTTTGAGGAGAGACTGAGGCAAATGGGGTCCTGGCTAAAAGTCAATGGAGAAGCTATTTATGAAACCCATACCTGGCGATCCCAGAATGACACTGTCACCCCAGATGTGTGGTAAGTCATTCTTGTTACCAAGTACTCTTTTATAAAGGAAGAGATTTAAAATTTATCACACATATAAAGAAGAGTAGGATAAAAAGAGAAATTGGATGAATTCTTACATATACAAAGCACTTTCCAAACTTAGCTTACTCTAATATGAAGAGAAGAGGAAGAATTTGCATGTTTTTGAACGTTTATTGTTTATCAGATTAAGCTTACATCATTTCTAGGTATCTCCCAGTGGTGGACAAATCTTGGCTGAAAGTACTCAGCTTTTAGAAAAATTGTAAGCCGTTCAGACCAATGAAAAAATGTGAATGGTTAGTCTAAAACAGAGACTACTGTTTAATCAGTTCCGTAAATTCTAACTTTTGCAGATGTTGCATCCCATGAAATTTGCAAACAAAGGTACCCAAAGGCAGAGAAAATGTTAGATTAAAAATGAGTCAAAATAGGGAGGGTTCTGGGAAGATGCTTCTCTCTGAGTTTGGGGAGGTTCTGTGTGTCAGTGAGTTCCTGAATCAGATTCCACAAATATGACAGTTTCTGATACGGTTTCTTAACATATATAAAATAAGAGGAGTATTGGTGAAGTTCTAAAAATTCACTTTCAGTTGCCTGATCAAATAGGAACCGAAAAATTAGACTAATTGTTCTTCAATCTACTTGACTCACGACTTAAAACATTAACCCATTGAATAAAATGAAGTAAGGCAATCTGGACAGAGCAAATAATTGTGGAGTTTTAAAATGTTGATCTGGGAGGAGCCATAATGAGAACTCAATACCAAGCTCTCATGTAACAGAGGATAGTGCAAATCTGGTTTTGGAATTTGCTTCTGTACTGACATTTGAATACGAGGGCATCTGATCTAGGACTTCACAATCATTAACCATTATTCCATTGTGTTTATTTCAATAAATAAACATAAAAGCTAAATATTTAATGTGGCTTATAAAGTTGTGAGTCTGGCTCCTACCAACTTCCCCGATGCTGAGTGTTCCTGCTCTCCCTCCTCACCGTAGGAGCCTTCTTCCCCCCAGGTTCATCATGCCCATCTTCTTGCAGTCACCTACAGACTCCCAGGTCAACCCTTTAAATCCTTCGAGAGAGTAGCCCTGGCTTGCTGTCCCTGTCCCCAGAACTACTCTTCACATAATTCTTAGTGATTTTAATTTCTATTCACAGTTCTAATTACCTGCACTTCCTGTCTTCTAGGGATCTTGTCTGCTTGACCTTTGTTACCTGTTCCTTTGCATTATCAATATACAAAGTCATATTGGTAATGCAAAGTAGAACTTCTTACTCAACACTTCCACTTGGATGCATAGCATCTTAGACCTGTATGTCCACAGCTGAAGTCCTGAGTTTTAAAATTTTGCTGTAGACTAGCTCCACCCACGGTCTTCCCTATCTCAGTTAATGGCAGCTTTATCCTTTAGGTGGTTGTCAGGCCAAAAGCCTTGGTGTCCTTAACTTCCCTTTCTTTTATAATCATACTTTAGACTTTGCATTACCAATAACTGCACCCCTTCCATGGCTCCAGTTTGAAGCATTCTGCCATCTACCTACGACTTCTTATATTTTGGCTCACTCCACACAGCACTTTGGCTTCCAAAGGGATCTATAATCCAGGGATTACCCTATCTTTTAATCCTATCATCTTTTCTCTGTCTGTCTTTTTCCTTATCCAGAACAGATTCTGTGGCCCGTCACTGTAACTAATCTATTGCATATACCCAACTCCTGAACTCTCGCTCCCTCTGCCATACTCACTTGACAGAACATCAACTTTAAATTAAGATCTACTTATTCTATGCCTGCTCCTGGACAGCTAACTGTAACTATGGAAACTCACACACACACGCACCCAGACACATACAATGTAGAATTATCTCACCTTTGGTTTTAAGGTCAACCCTTGTGTCCTGATCCCATTGCAAATCATCCACCCAAGGATTGTTACAGCAATTCTCCCCTTTCACTCAATTTCACTTGTATTTCTAGCTACCTTCCCATTTCTCTCCTTTCCTTTGTAGTAAAACATGTTGAAAGAATTTTCACTTGCTATCTCCAATTCCTTGCTACAGTTTTTCTCTTGAACCCACTCTGGTGGAGCTTCCACCCCCACACTCCAAGATTGCTCTTCTCAAGGCCCACAATAACCTCTGCCTTTCCAATTCCAGTGATGAGTCCCCAGTGCTCATTTTCTTAACTTACTGGCAGCGTCTGCCTCAGTTGATCACTGTCTCTCCTGGTGTTCATTGTACCTGTTGGCTCTTCCTTGTTAGTTAGTTCCTCTCCTGATTTCATCTCATTTTTCCAACCTCTAAATCTTGAAGTGCCCTGAGGTTTAGTCTTCAGATTTCTATTCTTCTCTTTTTTTTTTTTTTTTTTGAGGGCACTGGCGTGATCTCGGCTCACTGCAACCTCTGTCTCCCAGGTTCAAGCTATTCTCCTGCCTCAGCCTCCCGAGTAGCTGGGATTACAAGTGCCTGCCACCATGCCTGGCTAATTTTTTTGTAATTTTAGTAGAGACAGGATTTCACCATGTTTGGCCAGGCTGGTCTCGAACTCCTGGACCTCAGGTGATCTACTTTCCTCAGCCTCCCAAAGTGCTGGGATTACAGGCATGAGCCACCGCGTTTATCTTAATGTCCCAGGTGATCTTATCCATTTTCATGGCTTTAAATGCCATATTGATGACCTCCACATTTCTATTTCCAGTGCAGACCTCTTTCTGAACTCCAGCCTCACTAAGTTCCTACTCAATATTTCCACTTGGATGCATAGCATCTTAGACCTGTACATCCAAAACTGAAGTCCTGAGTTTTCAAATTTTGCTATCAACTAGCTCCACCCATGGTCTTTCCCATCTCAGTTAACAGTAGCTTCATCCTTTAGGTGGTTGTCAGGCCCAAAACCTTGAAACCCTTAGTTTCCCTTTCTTTTATAGTCACAGGCAACTCATTAGCAGATATCATCCTCTATCTTTGAAATATATTCAGAATCTGACCACTTCTCATCCTCTCTGTGGCAACCCTCATCCTTTTAGTTTCCATTGTCTTGTCCCTGTCTGGATTATTTCAGTAGCTTCTTAACAGGTCTCTATTTCTACCCTTTAACCTATTCACCACAAAGCAATTAGAGTATACTTTTAAATAATAATGCCACTCCCATGCTCACATTTCTCCAATGGCTTCCAGTCTCAGAGAGAAGGCCAGGTCCCATAGATGCTCACAAGGGCCTACAAAATCTGGCTCCTTATCGCCTCTTTGATCTTATCTGCCATCACCCTCCCCCACTTCCTCTCCTTCAGCCACTCTGCCTTCCTTGCTATTGCATCAACAGGCAGAGCACACTTGCACTGGGGCTCCTGCACTTGACATTCTGTCTGAAGGCTTTCTCCAGACTCCCCTGTGGCACTCCTATGGCGCTCCCATGGTTCTCTTCCATGCCACCTCTAAGAGGTCTTCCCTGACTATTCTACTTAAAATAACACTCCCAGGCCTCTCCTTTCCTACCTAGCATGCCCTGTTCTTCTTACCTGGTTTGTTTTCTCCATAGCATTTAATCAACACCTGACATATTTGTTCATTCTAATTTCTCCCACTGGAATGCAAGCCCCATGAGGACAAGGACTTTGTTCAATGCTGTATATTGCTCTAAAACAGTGTCTAGCATTTTAAGATTTCAATAAGTATTTGTTGAGTAGTTGAATAAATGAATGAATTCCATTTTTTTTTTTTTTTGTCTACAGCCTACTTCCCTTACCTTCTTCTTTGTTCCCATTCATCCTCCTTTAAGTCTCAGATTAAATGTCACGTTCTTGGTGAGGCTTCTTTCTGATGTTCTAATCTAAAGAGATCCTTTTGTTACAATCTCTCAATTTCCTTTTCTTTCATAGTGCTTATCAGAACTCACACTTTCATATTATTTGTGTGATTATTTAGTGTTTGCCTTCCCCACTCTAGTCTAAGCTCCGTAAGAACTATGTGTGTTTTGTTTTTTATTCTAACCCTAACACTGAGCACAGTACTAGGCACAGAATTGACACATGCATATCTTGTCTTGTTGAATGAATGGATATAAAAATTTGACTAACACATGAAAAGCCATGAAGCTCTTGCATCCTGCCCCCTTAGCGCATCTGCCTCCCCTTTTCAGATCCATGAGAGCAGTCTGATGAAGAGGAATGCTATCTCAGCAAAATCTTTGTCTTCCAAGAACTTCCTTTTGGTCTTGGGGGAGGAAGGTGCTTTTTTATACCAACATGGGGCTATTTTTCCCTCCCTTCTATTAATGGCGACACTGTGGAAGTATCTCTGTAAAAAAATTCCAGATCGTTCCTGATCCATAAATAATGAGAAACATGGGATGTAACTTGTTACTACGCTTTTTATCTTTTTCTTTTAACCAGGTACACATTCAAGCCTAAAGAAAAATTGGTATATGCCATTTTTCTTAAATGGCCCACATCAGGACAGCTGTTCCTTGGCCAGCCCAAAGCTATTCTGGGGGCAACAGAGGTAAGAGGGAACTTTATCTTGTTCCTTTAAATTGCTGATTAGAACATCTTGATGCAAACATAACTTTTAACTTTAAGGGGAGCCTTATATCTGTTTCTCTTATACCTCATAAAAGTAATTATAAATGAGCTCCAGCCAAGCAGTGAGGCTCACACTGTAATTCCAGCACTTTGGGAAGCTGAGGCAGGAGGATGTCTTGAGGCCAGAAGTTTGAGACTAACCTGGGCAACATAGCAAGACCCCTCTTTACAAAATTTTTTTTAAAAGCTAGCTGGGCATGGTGGCACGCACCTGTAGTCCTAGTTACTCAGGAGGCTCAGGCAGGAGGATTGCGTGAACCCAGTAAGTCAAGACTACAGTGAGCTATCAGTGTACCACTTCAGCCTGTCTCTGAAAAAATAAAATAAAATAAAATAAAATAAAATAAAATAAAATAAAATAAAGTAAAATGAATTTCACCAATGACAGTGTTTGGTCAAAATCTTTGAAACTTTTTGTTTCCCAGAAAACTAAGCTGATAAAGCAGCTACAGTATCTCTATGCATATCACTGTAAAATAGACATTATTCTTTACAGTCATTCTATGTTGTTCAAGTTCATTGCATGCATACAAAATGATTCTTCTCATAAAACTAGAATTCGGATGCTTTCCCTGACACCCCACCCCAGAACGTATCTGAATACAAGATGTCATGACTCTACTATTTTATGTTTATAAAACATTTTGGAGAAAGTTAGAGATTAACTGTTGTAACCACCACATCTGGCATTGAGTTCATTCTGATATATTTTATAACTTATTTTTTTTAAATAAATTATCCCTTTGGAGGTGAATTGTCCATATGGCTCTCCTTGCATCACCTTTCTGCGTTTCATTTCTAATACGTGTGGTTGATGAGGCAGAAAGAAGATGAGTTCAAATCTAATGTTTAATTACAGCTTAGTAGACCAGGTATGACACTGATTATATTTTTATTTTATCTATGTTCTTTTTGGTGCCAATTAACATCATTATTTAAAAGCTCCTGGGTTTTGTTTTCATATTGATCCACCTAAGAAGCAAAGGTTTTGGTTCAAAATAACCCTAGAATATGTAGAGAACTTATTTGAATTTGCTTAGTATAGTAAGACTAAGGTTATAAAATAATTACAGTAATAATTGATCAAATATATGTATTATTGATTAGTGGAGGTTATTAGAAAATCTGGGGAACACTGAGTAGATACTTGGGCAGACTCTTGTTTCAGAACCATTTTCTGCTCCTGATCCTCTCTTTAGCATTTTCTCCACTCTGACACTCCATTCAGCCTTGAAAATTCTCCTTCCCCAACCCCTGCACACTTTTATTTCCCTCTTGAGAGTAAAACAGAAGCAAGAATATAGAGGCAAGATACATATACTTAATTGGATGAAGAGTGATTGTGAATCACTAAATAAAGGTAAAAATGAATCTCGTCTATATATTTTTTTGAACTACTAATGAGTCCTTCCCAATAGAAAGTGGGTGAGATAAAGAGATAAATTTGGAAACATTTGCATGTATGTTTTTAATTTCAGGTGAAACTACTGGGCCATGGACAGCCACTTAACTGGATTTCTTTGGAGCAAAATGGCATTATGGTAGAACTGCCACAGCTAACCGTTCGTCAGATGCCATGTAAATGGGGCTGGGCTCTAGCACTAACTAATGTGATCTAAAGTGCAGCAGAGTGGCTGATGCTGCAAGTTATGTCTAAGACTAGGAACTATCGGGTGTCTATAATTATAGCACATGGAGAAAGCAAATGTAAAATTGGATAAGAAAATTATTTTGGCAATTCAGCTCTTTCCCGTTTTCCCACTAAATTTTTTCTTAAATTATCATTTTAACTCTCCGGTGCACTTTGCCATTAAAGTCTCTTCATATTGATTTGTTTCCATGTGTGACTCAGAGGTGCGAATTTTTTCAGGTTAGAGTAGCAAGGAATTGGTGGTATTATGGACTGAACTGAAAATTTTATGTTGAAACCATATCCCCCAACATGATTATATAGTTATGTATCACTTAACGATGGGGATATTTTCTGGCAAATGCATTGCTAGTCAATTTTTTTTATGCCAACATCATAGAATATATTTACAAAATCCTAGATGGCATAGCCTACTACACACCTAATGTGTATGGTATAGACTATTGCTCCTAGGCTACAGACATATTCAGCATGTTACTGAATGCTGTAGGCAATAGTAACACAGTGGTATTTGTGTATCTAAACATACGGAAACATAGAAAAGGTACAGTAAATATACTGTAAAATAAATGGTGCACCTATACAGGGCACTTACTGTGAATGGAGCTTACAGGACTGGAAGTTGCTCTGGGTGAGTTAGTGAGTGAATGGCGAGTGAATGTGAAGGCCTAGGACATTATTGAACACTACAGACTTTATAAATACTGTATGCTTAGGCTATGCTACATTTATAAAAATGTTTTTCTTTCTTCAATTACAAATTAACATAAGCTTACTGTAACTTGACAAAGTTTTTAATTTTTAAAACCTTTTTGGCTCTTTTGTAATAACTTAGCTTAAAACATAAACTCATTGTGCAAATGTACAAAAATATTTTCTTTCTTTATATTCTTATTCTATAGGCTTTTTTCCTATTTTTAAAATTTTTAACGTTTTACTTTTACAGAAACACACACATTAGCCTAGGCCTACATGGGGTCAGGATCATCAATGTCACTGTCTTCCATCTCCACATCTTGTCCTGCTTAGAAGGTTTTCAGGGGCAATAATACCCATGGAGCTGTCATCTCCTATAACAATGCCTTCTTCTGAAAAACTTCCTGAAGGACCTGCCTTATGCTGTTTCACATTTTTTTTTTTTAAAGTAGAAATACACTCTAAAATAATGACAAAACATATAGCATAGCAATACATAAACCAGTAACCTAGCTGTTTATTATCAAGTATTATATACCTTACAGCATTTTATATGCTAGATTTTTATACGACTGGCAGCACAGGTTTACACCAGCATCACCATAAACAATGTGATTAACGTGTTGTGCTACCTTATGATGGCTATGATGTCACTAGGTGATAGGAATTTTTAGCTCCATTATAATCTTATGGCACCACCAATATATATGCAGTCCATTATTGACTGAAAAGTTGTTATGTGGTACATGGCTATATTTTGAAATAGGGCCTTTAAAGAGTAACTAAGGTTAAGTGAGGTCATAAAGGTAGGGCCCTCAAGCCAATAGGACTGATGTCCTTACAAGAAGGGGAAGACACACCAGGGATACAAGTGCACAGAAGAAAGGCCGTATAAAGACGGTGAGAAGGTGCCATCTGCAAGTCAAGGAGAGAAGTCTTTGAAGAAACCACATCTGCTGATACCTTGGACTTTCAGCCTCCAGAACTGTGAGAAAATAAATTTCTGTTGTTTAACCTGAGTAGAGGTTGTGTTTTCTATTCCCATTTGCTGCAATGTATGTTTACCAAAGGCTGTTTGAGTTTGTGACTGTAGTGGGTCAAATAGTGTTCCCCAATAATTTATGTCCACCTGGAACCTCAGAATGTATTCTCACTTGGAAATCATGTCTTTGCAGATGTAATAGGTAAGTATTGAGATAAGCTCATATTGGATATGGGTAGGTTCTAAATCCAATGACAGTATCCTTATAAATGACAGAAAAGGACACAGAGACAGAAAAAGGCCATGTGACAACTAGGCAGAGATTGGAGAGGAAGCATGGCCCTGCTGACACCTTGATTTTGGATTTCTAGCCACCAGAAGTGTGAGAATAAATTTCTCGTTTTAAGCCACTTACGGAGTGGTAATTTGTTACAGCAGCTCTAGGAAACTAATAGTTACCAAATAAATTGATTATGCCAGGTGAACTTTTTATGATGATTTTAAGAGCCAATGATGCAAGTGTGAAGAGTTGTAGTTTCCGTGAAAGCCAAGTTGAATACTTTGGAAAGACTAGATAAAAGTTTGTTGACTTTAAAAATTAATAATAATAATAATAATAATAAGCTATTGGTTAAGTGTGGGCAAAACTGTTCTAAAAGATTGGGGGAAAATATAGTAAAAATCTTCAAGAATTCTGCATCTCTGGTTCACACCTATGACACCTATGACATTACATGTAGTTTGTACAAGAAAGATAATTAGATTACAAGCTCCAGTTTGTAATCCCAGCTACTTGAGAGGCTGAGGTGGGAGGATCCTTGAGGCCAGGAATTTAAGAAAGATAATTAGAGAACATCTATCAGCAGACCTATATGGGAAAGCAGCTATGCTGTACCACACTATGTCACCAACAGCCCAACTGAGTAGACCTACACTAAAAAGTTAGAAAAAACCTGGATCCTATAGTAAATAAGTGATAAATATAGAACATTTAAAGTTAAAATGTCTATATATGTATTTTTTATGACATCCTGATTTACATAACTTTTTAGATTAACTAAACAACTAAAGGTTTCTGATGAGAGGGCTCCTGCTATACTATCAGAAAGCAGATATGTACTATCTAAGACCAATTAACTTTGTTTTTATATTTATTCATTTTTTTGAGACAGAGTCTCACTCTGTCACCCAGGCTGGAGTGCAGTGGCATGATCTCAGCTCACTGCAACCTCTGCCTCCCAGGTTCAAGTGATTCTCCTGCCTCGGCCTCCCAAGTAGCTTTACATACATGTGGTTTTTACCTTGTCGTCTCTTCCACTGCCACAATTATACAGATGCGTATGATTCCAGGAGATAATTTTCAGCTGATCAAATTTGTATCTTACAAGGCCACACCTGTTTAGTCTCAAATTTTCCCTGGATGAAATCCTGGGTTAATTTTATTGGAAGAGATGCGTGCCCATTACACACACATTCCCTAATTTCCCAAAATGCTATTTTTCATTTACCCTATTAAAAATGAGAATATCATATTTTGTCAAATTTTGGAAAGAAGCATGTTCCCTCCTCTCCACCTCCACTTGTTTTTTTTTTTTTTTTTTCCCAGACACGGTCTCACTCTGTCACCCAGGCTAGAGTGCAGTGGCGCAGTCATAGCTCACTGCAGCCTTGACTTACTGGGCTCAAGTGATCACTGCAAATAGCTGGGACTATGGGCACATGCCACTGTGCCTGACTAATTTTTTTGTAGACAGAGGATTTTACCACATTGCCCAGGCTGGACCATTATCTTTTTTTTTTTTTTTTTAAGTTTTCAATATTTTGCTCAAGATTTTTTTTTTTTAAAGTTAATTACAGCATTTGAAGAAGAGGATCTAATTCCACACAAAATGGAAGACTCCAAAATGTATCCATTAAACTGCTAAAAAATAGAGTGGTAAGAATACCACATAAGCCCAATTTAGATTCTGAGTGCTGTCACCTGTGATTACAATTATACAGACTCTTCCAAGCTTATAGCTGGAGCTCCTGGAAGCTATTTTATACTCTGACGCAAGGACAAAAAAACCCACAACTCAGGAAGGAATTAAGTCCTGAATTATTGGTTTCATCACATTCACCCTCTCTATCCCAAAGCTGCACAAAAGAAACAGTGACCACACCCTGTAGATCTTTTTGTGTAAAAGAGGTAATGAAGAACTGGGATGGGAACAAGTCATGAAGATCTGTCTTACAAAGGTCCCTTTCAGGTAAGTTTGTACACACCATCACGCAACGAGCCTCTCATCAATTATGGTTAGGAAACCAGGTTCAATTCTCAGGAAATCCCAATTTCATTCATTTACTCAATATGAATTTACAAGGTGCCTATATATTATCAGCTTCCACTTGCAGCCATTTCTAGATAAAAAAGAAACCTGGCATCTCTACAGGGGCCACCAAGTTCCCCAAATCTACCACTGAAAGGACCTTTTTGGAACTGGGTTTCTTCTGTACCTCTGAAAGGGTAACACCTTAAAGCTGAATCATCTTTAACTTGGAGGTCCAACATGACATTTAGCAATACTTGCAACCCAGACATACATTAAAAGATACACTAAATTCTGAAGGCAGCTATGCTGCAAAATGATTTAAACAATTCTACAGCATTCATTTATGCTTGAAATTCCAGTCCTAGACCAAGTTTGTGGCCACCAGCATAGATGTTCTTGCCACCCAGGAGAGCTGACAGTGTCAGTTTGATACCTGGCTTTAGGCTTTGAGTGTATCCTAAACCTATCAGGCTGGAGTTGTTCACTTTAGTGGAGAAGTGGGCTTTAGGGTCGATCTGATACTTGGCTGCTATTCCAAAGTGAGTGTTACTGTTTCCTGCTGTCCCAGAGAAACTGACAGCAGTCTCCAACTTCTTGCTCACCTTCTGGTAATTGGACCTGCCAAACTGTCCTGTCATTCACATTAGTGTGAAGCTAGAATTCAGTCTTGTGGCCAACCGCAAAGTTGCTCTGCGTCACTCAGGACTTCGTGGTCTCAAAATTCACCTGGTAGCCGGCCAGCCAACCCTCATAACCCAGCACTTAGAGCGCCTCGGACTGAAGGCCCAGCAACGTCCAAATCCATGTCGCAGCCCAGGTTAATGTGCTCCCGCTTGTATCCTGTCTTGATTTTAGCATTTCCCCCCCAGTGTTAGGGGAGAAGGATGAATGGAGGGTCAGCTTCAGTCCACATGTTAACTGATCTCCCATAGTAATCTCGGTGCCTAGAGTGTTGTCAGTGTTCCATTTCCTTGTAAATGTCAGGCCATATTCGCTCTATCTGTACGTGGTTTCCAGACTGCCTGTCACATTGGTGGTCTAAGTGTTGGCTGAGCCTGAGCTTGTAAATTCCAATCCATTCTAAGATTTTGTTTTCAAATCAGGTTTTATTAAGCCAAATCCATATCCCTTGGTGAAGACATGCTTGGCAGATTTGCCAAGATTAGCATATGTGAGTGGCACAGCCATCTTCTGCTCAGAGACAATGCCAGTGGGCTCAGAGGTCTATGTTGAGGGCTATGGCTCCGCTACCTATTTTTAAAAACATTCTAGACACAAACTCCCTAGCAGTCAGCTCCAGGCCTAGCCGGCCTTAGAAGAGACCTCATAATTTATTTTCTACCTTCTACTGTTCAGCTACATGTTATGTTGGAGGAACATAAAACAATGTTACTGAAAATATATGTCAACATACTAATGATACATAATGATTTATTTACTTTTGCCCTAATTACCCTTCTAAATGAAGAATTACAGATGTATTACTAGAGACAATGAATTATTTCTTTTCCAGAAAGTAAAGCTATTTGCTTTTTACTAAATGAACAAGTTAACAACAACAAAAAAGCACCAAGTACATGACCAATTAAAATGAAACTTAAACTAGCATGCTCTCTCTTCCGAAATAATAACAAAAATGCTATGGGATAAGTAAATTAATAGCTGAAAAATATTAACTCAACAAAATAATATTTTACTAAAATAGTTTATTGCAGTAAGATTTTCACTGTATTCAAAATCAATACAAAGTTAAGTTTTTAAAATTATATAAGTACATACAAATGATTAAAACTATGTAATTAGGTGAGTAAACAGCATCAACACAATTTTAGCCTCTAAATCAATATGTAACTTTCTAAGTCTTGCTAATAAAACCTTAAAAAATATAGTGAAGAAATAGCAAAGGAAAAATAGTTCATCATAGTTGTTGAAATTTACTACTTCCATAAGAATAAAAAAGTCCTCCATCAAGGTATATTTGAAACAAATAATTTATTATTTTGAAGGGTAGCTAGAGAAAAGTCAGATTCACTTCTGTTTACAGCAGTCTAGGGAACATTATAATTAAACAGCATATTTTCCCAAAATTCATATATTCTAGACCTATGTCTCCAACAGATATTTTTCCTCAGTATTAATATGGCAAAGTACACTGAATTTCATATTCATATATATATGTATATAAAATATCTACATTGATTTTTAGTCAGTTTGGAACGAATGTCCATGTGTAACAAATCATTAACAATTCTGATATTTGCACATGTGTACATATATGTGCCCACAAAAACTGGTCTGTTGATGAATCTAAAAAAATATATTAAGATGCCAAATACATTGATTTCATTATGAAATGAAGACTTTTATTAAGAATATATTTTATCAGACATTTTGATAACAAACTGTTACTCTAAGTATAGATGATTTACCCAGTGTATTTTAAAAAGTAAACGAATCCCCACTGTAGTTTTTCTTGAAGGAAAAATCATTTCTCCAGTTGCTGAGGGGTACTAAAAGCTTCATACACATTAGCAGCAAAGTCTTTCACTTGCTCCATTGTCAACAGATCCTAGCAAAGATGATAATGTAACATTATAGTTTGCAAAAAGTATACAAAATTTGAATTAATTTCTGCAATCAAGGGATGAATTCAGTTCTAAGTTTTGTGGTAAAGGCCAAGAGGCAAACCATTTAAGAAAATGAGTAGTTTTTCTTGTAATAAATTCTAGAAGATAGTTATTATTTAGGTTCTTATATGAGGGATGATGGTATCATAAGCGTTCAAGTGTGACTTTGAGGGACAAAAACCCCAAATAGTCTTCAAATGAATTTTTGTGTATGTCAAGTGCTAGATAAGTATCTGTTGAATAAATAACTATAGGAGTAAAGGTACTTTTGCTGGAAGCTGACATAACATGGTTAAGGGCATATTACTTTCTAGAAGATCTAACATACGGTATGAATATAGGTAGCAAGTGCATATTTTACATATACACACATACATGAACCACACATACACTATAGTGTAAGGGTTCTTAACACCCCACGGGATTTGCGAATGTAAAGATAAGAAAAAACTACATCTTCATTTTTATTAACTTCTAACCAAAATCTGGTATCTCTTTCAATTATGAATGTAGGCAACAAACTGTGATGATATTAGCAGGTTGTATGACTTTGTCTTCAATAGAAATCACAGGCAGTTTCATGTCATATGACAGTTGTGGAAGTTATCAGAACTCTCATTATATCTTCGTATTTAATGCATGAATAAAGAAGCAATACTGCTATATCATAAACTTAATTTTAAAAGAAATTTTGAAAACTAGATATAATTGGTTTCCTTTAATTATGTATTTTACTGTATGCACTTATACATATTGTTCTGAGAAGGGGTCCATAGACTTCACCAGCCTGTGAAAGGGTCCATGACAGAAAAGGTTGAGAGCCTCTGAAATGTGAAGGAAACCTGGCCCTACTGATCTCTGTTTCTTAAGTATCAGAAAATCCAAGTGAGGTTTAGACATGTCCTAATCTCAATCAATTCATGGTTAAATTATCTCGTCAGAGAATTTGATGTTATTTAGTTTCAAGTATTCAGTCTAGGTGTTCAATGAAACAGGTTTAGATCAATGTTTCTCAAACCAGAATTTACAGACATGCTTTCAGGGGCCCAAGAATTTGAGGGGAAATTTTGTGTTTTGATTTCTGTGAAAATGTAAAGAAAACTCAAGCACGCTCTTGATTATTGAGAAGATAAAACATATAACCTACTGTTGTTCCTGATTTTAGGGCATGTTTATATTTACGCTCTTATTGGCTTTAAGTAACATTACTTTAACTGTCTTGTGCTAATGAGAAAAGAACAGAGGCAGAAAATCTTTCAAATGAAGGCCAAATCATGTAAAACACATGATACAAATGAAGCTTTCAGAATAGTTACAGTAGATTAAAAAAAATAATAATAATAATAGCAAGTCAGCTTTAGAAAATGCAGGCTGAATGCTCAACAGCATGAACAGCAGCAGACAGGTCCACATTCACTTTGGCACAACAAATTATTAACAGTAGCCATCAGCCATATTATAGAACAATCTACTTATTTTTCATAATTTAGATTATACTTGATAATAAAACTGCTTTGGTTTAGAGTTATGAAAAAGCTCTAATTTTTTTTTTTTTTTTGAGACGGAGTCTCGCTCTGCTGCCCAGGCTGGAGTGCAGTGGCGCGATCTTGGCTCACTGCAAGCTCTGCCTCCCGGGTTCCCGCCATTCTCCTGCCTCAGCCTCCCGAGTAGCTGGGACTACAGGCGCCGCCACCAGCCCGGCTAGTTTTTTGTATTTTTAGTAGAGACGGTGTTTCACTGTGTTAGCCAGGATGGGCTCGATCTCCTGACCTCGTGATCCACCCGCCTCTGCCTCCCAAAGTGCTGGGATTACAGGCGTGAGCCACCGCGCCCGGCCGAAAAAACTCTAATCTTAAGGATCTTATCGAGGTTTTAATTTATACACTAAAAATGATTTAAACACTGGAGGACTGTGGTATATCTGGGTACATTGTATGTGAGGTGTATGGACAAGTCTCAGAAACACTACCATTGTAGTGCAAAAGCAGCCATAAACAACACATAAACCAATGGGCATGCTGTCACCCAACAAAACTTACAAAAGCTGGTGCTTGGCTGGATTTGGCTCATAGGTCATAGTTAGTTTATATCAGCTTTATAATAAAGACTTCAATCTGTTCAAATACTGTATCCTGATGCAGCTTCCAGGATGTTTTCAGTAGTCTGAGATAAAAATTATGTATCACAGGGTTGGTTCACATTATAAAAGCTCTTTCCTCATGTTAATCTGAAAGCAATCTGAAATAATTTATCTCCTGCTTATGTTATTTGAAAGCTATTTGAAAATAATTTGAAAAAACACCTTTCTCGATTGTTTTCTGATTCTCCCATTCCCTACCTTTACGAACTACCATCCTAGTATCTTCTACCACAGGGGTCAGCAAAGTACAGCCTGTGGGCCAAATCCACTGCTGCCTGTTTTTGTATATAAAGTTGTGTTGAAACAGCCACACTCTTTTGTTCATGTATGTTTCTGACTGCTTTCACACTGCTACAGCAGATATGAATAGTTTCTGTAGAGAATGTATGTTGCATAAAGTATGTACTATCTGGCCCTGTACAGTGTGCCAACCCCTGTTCTACAGCATTCCCACAATAGGCTCTCCTACACACCATTGTAGTTGAAGTAATAGCAGTAATTTGAAAGGATTAATTTTATGTAAATTAATATTCTAATCAAGGCAAAGAAAGGCTTTACAAAAAGATAAGTGGAAATAGTAGAGCACACGTTAAGAAGACCACTTGGTATTTTAACTCATAAATTATAGTCTAAAAAATTAAACTATAATTGTTATAGCCTTGTCAATCAATGGTCTAGTATATACATTTAATATACATCCAGTTACACTAAAAAACTTTACTAAACATTAGTATCAATGGTGTTTTTACTGTACTGAAACATTTGTTTTTATTATCAATTATATCGATTTTAATTAAAGTGTACTGCATAAAATTTAAGCATTAAGGTTGATGATGCTTTGTGCTTGGCTGTCATTTCCACTTATCTGTCAAAATGAACAGCCTACTGGCCAAGTCAGGGACTTCTCCAGAAGAGGACAAAGGTAAAGGTAAAGTTTAAATGCCCCAAGTTATGACCTTTTTCTCACATTGATATAGATGTGAAGCTTAAAATTCAGTAAAATGAGATCAGTCTTATTCACTATTTCTTCTGCAATATGAGTGCCCAGCTCTTATGGGTGAGAAAGAGAACAGTGCGTGTGAAGGACAGGCTGATGACACCACAGTGAAAGGAGGAAACAAACTCTTAGTCTCAGTGCTCTCCACATTATCAAGAGTAAAAAGTCTACAGAGAGGATACACTAAACTATCTGAAACAAGTTACACTAAGAAGACGTCAGCTTTATTCTTAGGCCATAGGGTCTCTTCTCATTGTACATTATTGAAGCAGTTTGCAATTGGTATTGCAAACAGTTTTTTTAACTTATAACACAGTTTTCAAGTTTGCACATGACTCAGAAATTCAGTTATTTTGTTTATGATATCTGTCTGACTCAATGAATTAGTGAATTACTCAATGCATTCCAAATGGAAATGAAGAAA